CCGCCCCTGAATAATGGTTCTTGTTTCCCTATAAATATATTAATTGTTACATATATAAATATATAGCTTTTAAGTATGTGCGCAACAAGAAAAATAGTTCGTGAGTTGTGACCCGATATCGTTCACTTTCATTAAGCATGTCTTAGATCTGAAATATTGTTACGGGAACTAACACTTTCGAACACGCTGAGTTCAAATCCGAAAAGTTCCCACTCCGTAGACCCGCAGTTTTTTCACAAAATGCTATTTTGTCTTCACTAATTTCACAACAAATTTTTTCATTGTTCAACGATACGGATCGATGACGATACACGATTATGGGCCATTCCATAGACCTTATTCATAAATCGTGACGAGGCCTCGTATCCTAGGATACGGGAAAAAAACGCGGGAATACAAGCGAAAACTGCTTGACAAGCCAAATTCAGATGCTATATATCGACTTCAACGGCTTGTTTCTTGTTGCCTTTTGCGATTTATAACATTTTGTGTGTATTTTAAGACTTTGTGCCCACAACGAAAGCGGTAAACGAGTATATTATAAAAGCGACCGGTTTTTCTCCCGGTTTTGTGTGGGAAAAATGACAACATAGCGACAGTGTTTATCCAGAAGCGAAAAACAGTATTTTACTGAGATTTTAACGTCAATATAAAGGTTATTCCGTGAAAAATCTAGACAACTATAGAATGAAAGTATAATTTTTCGAATTTGACATTAATATGAAAGAAAACAAGAGGTCAAAAATCACAAGAGAACGTCAAATGTCATTGATTCGTACCGGAAAATATGAACTATGGCTGTGGCTCGATAACATTCTGCAAGCAGCTTACGAGTTTAAAAAATGAAGGCTACATTACCTGAGTGAGTTGTAATCTTATTTCTTCAACAATAGTTTCATATTCTTACGATTTTGGTGTTGTATAGACGTTTTGTAGCCTTGTTGGTTGTTTGTTTTGGCCATACAAACTACGACAATAATACAAAGTCAAAGGTTTCCTTTTTCGATTGACTCCAGCATCTTTTGCTTTAAATATCATGTTATATTTTCTCAGAAGTATTTTTTTCAACTTTCAAACTCAGTTTTATAGATATTATTTTCGAAAAAAGCCGTAATATTGACGATAAAAAGCTGCCATAGCCGACAGCAAAAAAAACATTTTGTCAATTTTCCCGCGTTTTTCCCCGTTTCCTAGGATACGAGGCCTCGATCACGATTTATGAATAAGGTCTATTTAATATCCACACCCCCCTGTTGACGAGATTTTCCGAAGGGTTCTGAAATTCTGAAATTTCTGAGGGGGTTCCAAGTTGAAAATTTCCGAGGGGTGTTGTAAAACCAAAATTTCTGAAGGGATCAAAATTTTTTTTTAAATTTCTGAAGGGCCAGGCAAAATTCTGAACATTTCTGAAGGGGCACTACCTGTTGACGAGAATTTCCGAGGGGGTCAAGAAAATCCCTGAAAATTTCTGAGGGGGTCAGGAAATTCCTGATAATTTCAGAGGGGCTCAAGAAATTCCCGATAACTTCTGAGGGGGTCAAGAAATTCCCGAAAATTTCTGAGGGGGGTCAAGAAATTCGCGAAAATTTCGGATGGGGTCAGGAAATTTCCAAAAATTTCCGATGGGGTCAAGAAATTTCCAAATATTTCCGAGGGGGTCAAGCAATTCCCGATAATTTCGAGGGGTTAGGGAATGTTTTGCGCAGAGCCTCCTTAAGTATTTACAAATAACTTACATGAAGTTTCTTGAATAAAAGTGAGTGCGCAGAACATAGAGTTATTGAGAAGTGAAGGAGCAATCTGCGCTTTCAGTTAATAAACGAGCGGGGATACCATGCATGGTGCATCACAGTCTTAATCTTTGTTATTATCCATGCTTACTATAGCGATACTACATTGGAGGGCCACCAGTTTATATTGTAAGGTGTTACGCACCTGAAATAAAGATTTTATCTTATCTATTCCGATTTTCCTGCTCGACGCCAGCTGGAAACAAGCCAGTCATTCTTGAAAAATTATGCCGGATTTCAAACCAAGGAGCATAAAACATGCAACCTAATTCAGACGAACACCGTCAAATTGCCGGGATCTACCCTTTTGAAAGGATCCTTTTGGCTTAGAATTAAACAGACTACTTTGAAAAGACCAATAAAAAGATCTTTTTGGCTTAAAAATGTTGCGCCCATAGGTGACACCCATCCCACATTCATCGCAGTTATGATGCCACCCTCCCTCTAGTGCCGTGTATATAGCCTAAATGAGGTGTAAATCTGGACAAAGCATAGATAACTAAATGCGCAGTTTTCAAAAGTATTTCCACTTTGACTAGCTGCATGGGAGGACAATGCACCGAGCCCAAACTCATAACGCGCGCTAGCACGCGTATTGATGCCACCTTTTACTATCACTAGCCACACCACATTACAAACATTTCCTACATTTGTATTTATGTACGCAAGTGCAGGCGAATACAGGGATTATGGGACGTAATGAAGACCCTAACTTGTTTGTGCGCATGACTAAATTATGTTTCATTCAGACATAGTTAATAGAGGAGATTGTCCTCTATTAACTATGATTCAGATGATTGGAGACGCTTATTTGAAACCATTTCCAAAATCAACCAATAGAAAATAGACCATTTGTCTAAAAAGTTTCAAATTACGGCCCAGAAGCGATTAGCGGGGCATCGTTTTAGCAAGGAATTAATGGTTTGATAGAAAATGCAGGTTGCGGATAGATTCTATTTTTTTGAAATTGTAATCAAATCTAAAAATTCTAACTATAGTCGTTGTGTGAGGGAAAATTTACGTAATCTGTCTATGCTCGACATTACGTGATCTAGGTTTTTGGATTTTTTTTTGTTTGTTTTAGTCGGCGTACATAGGCTATATATGTTTGAATTTTGCGCAGCGCGCTTGTTAGACTGTGGTCTAGTGGCCATCTTGACTTACTTAAGTTGTCCCTCCTTAGTTTTTTATACAAACAAGGAGAAACACGAAAGCAGACCCGTAGTTAACACAGTTGGAAAATGACAATCGAGATGTTATTTAGCATAAGACGCGCAAGGATATGCACATTCAACATTGCATGCGCACGAATGAATCTACTTTCATATTATTTAAGCATTTCGAGCCAACGAAATTAAATTCGTTGGCTCGAGCGGGATTTGAACTCGCATCTTCGGTTTAGATACCCGAAGATGCGAGTTCAAATCCCGCTCGAGTCAACGAATTTTTTGTTGGTCTATTGCAGTGTCAGAATAATATGAAATTGGTTTTTCGTTTCTCTGGGGATGGTTCTGAAATTACGTACATAATCTAATTTCCTCAAGTCTGCAATATTTTACAGTTTCGGGTACGCTGTTCGGTGGGTACGAACTTCGTTAGGTGGCACCCATGTAAACATGTGTTATTTCAGTCATTGCACGTTCAAGGTATTGTGTTTTTGACGGGAAAGTATTCTGTGATACGGGCATATCTTAAAGTTAGAGCGCGCAACGAATAATGATGACAGTATAGACATCAGTAACACAATATGATCCCACCGGCCACCGCAAATAATGCAGCGTGAATGGTGAATGCATTTTGGAACATAACACAACATAAATATATCATGTTAATCTACATTTGGTAACTTGTGTTTTAGTTGACTTATTAGCGCAAATGATAAGATTGGAAAATCATAGTTTTTGACAAAACAAACGCGGTACATTAAACGCAGACACGATCAGTAGCAGCCCAATTTAAATTTCATTGCAATTTAATAAGATGTTTTATTAAGAATAAATGTTCTCACCAACTTGAGAACGTAGTTTGATTTGCTGGTTCTTGCCTAGTTTAACTCAAAATCTCTATTTTTATGACAAATTTATTGCATTTTTAACCGCCAACTCGGTTAGAATATAAAAGTATAAAATCTATTTTTCCCAACGTGTCCGAGCCCGCGATATATGGCGGGAAACTATAACTACTTCATCTTATCTATAGTAATCTGTTCGTAACATCCCCCTCCCGAATGTGTAACATTCGAGATAGTCTAACATTCGTAAAACATTAACAAAACTAGGAGTAACTAACTCCGCTAATATGAAATTATGTTGTCAGTTTAGTTTCATAACTGTCCGTTTCTTTCGCAGGTAATTCTGTACAATCTCCTCCATATCCTCGGGTTTATTACTAAACGTACTCAAGAGGGCATAATCTATGAACCGGTCGCAAATACTCCTTTCCTTTAGCTTTAACTCTGACCACTCGCACCAAGCCATCGTTCCCAGGAAAAGTCTCAGTAATACGTCCCAACGGCCAGTCACAGCGATTTGCATTTGGCTCAATCATTAAAACAATATCTCCTTCCTTCATATTACGTGTGGGATGAAACCACTTCTTTCTACGATTTAAAGTCGGGAGCAATTCCCTTCTCCAACGTTTCCAAACTTGACCGATTAGTTGTTGAACACGATGCCATCTTTTGCGGGGGTTGAACGTTTCTTCCTCAATTGCCTCCACCGCAAATGTTCCTCCAAGCTGTCCGTGGATGAAATGATTGGGAGTGAGAGGACATAAGTCGTTGGAATCCGAACTTACGTACGTGATAGGCCTCGAGTTCAATAACTTCTCCGCCCCACAAATGGCTGTATGTAGCTCTTCATCGGAGACGTCCGCATTTCCTAAGATGCCCTTTATAGCTTTCTTGGCACTTTTTATCATGGCTTCAAATACTCCCCCGAAATGTGGGCTAGCTGGAGGGTTGAAATGCCATTCGATGTGAGAGAATCGCGAACTGTCCCGAACAATCTTCTCTTGGTCTAATTGTTCAACAAGTTCTCTCAGTTCTCGTTCTCCTGAAACGAAGTTGGTACCGTTATCTGATAAAACGTACGAAGGCGTCCCCCTCCGTGACACCATCCGGGCGAATGCATTCATAAACGAATCTGTGTCTAATGCATAGGCCATTTCCAAATGTACCGCGCGTGTCACGAGACAAGTAAATAAACAGAGATATCTTTTTGCTCTACTCTTGCCGCGACCTTGTTTTGTCAGGTATGGGCCTCCGTAGTCTACTCCTACTCGACAAAAGGCTTTCATCGATGAAATTACTCTTGGTCTCGGCAGCGGTGCCATCATTTGACCAATAGGTTTAGCAGTAAAGCGTTTCTTACACACTTGGCAATGATTAAGAATTTTACGTACTACAGCCCGTCCTCTTATCACCCAAAACCTACTACGTAATTCGGAGAGAGTGTGTTCTACTCCAGAACCATGTCCGAGTTGTTCATGAACCGCTCTTACTACAAGTTCCGTGATAGGGTGTTCTTTGGGTAAAATCAATGGATGTTTACTTTCGTACGGTATGTCTGCATGGCGCAAGCGTCCGTCTATACGAAGAAGTCCATCCTCGTCTTTCATGGGATTCAAGTTCTCCAGACTTTTCCGTCCTTTAGTGTCTTGAAACCTTTCTGTTTGTGCACGTTTGAACCAATAAAATTCTGCTTTCTTTACTTCTCCAATCGATAAACTTTTGCTTAGATCTCTTTGCTCTGGTCGACATTTGCAGTTGCTCGTAAAACGCCATACCCATGCTATTACACGAACAAGTCGTCTGAAATCTGAAAAGTTCTGTGGATTCAATTCGTTACTGTCCAATACTTGAGTGGCATTTGTTCGCACCATTTTACACTCTTCTTTCGTGTCACTTGATAATGTATCCATTCCAGGTACGCGTGCAGGCCAATTTGTCTCATTTTCTAAAACAAACTGTGGTCCTTCTTTCCATACTCTGCTCTGTGCTAGCTCAGAAACCTTTATTCCTCGAGTTGCCAAATCAGCGGGGTTAAGTTCTCCCGGGACATGTCTCCACTGTTCTGGGTTTGTCGAATTTTGGATTTCCCCGATTCTGTTGGCGATGAAGGTTTTAAAATTGCGACTCTGGTTACTCACCCAATAAAGAACGTTCGTAGAATCTATCCAGTAAATCACTTTGGATACTACAATTGACTTGAGTATGGTATTTGCCAAACGTGTTGAAATAACCGCTCCCAACAACTCAAGTCTAGGGATAGTCATCGATATAACTGGTGCAACTCGACTCTTAGATGCAATCAATACTGATGTTGGTTGTTTCCTTCATAACGACAAACTAAATAAGCTCAAGCTGCATAGGCATCCTTTGAAGCATCAGAGAACATATGTAATTCTATTTCATCAGGGGGGGATGTCGCAGGCATCGTGGTATCTCAAAGGAGGAAAGGTGTTGTAACTCGTTCACCCAGTTGTGCCAACGGTCTAATAGGGTCCTCGGTAGTGGATCATCACAATATAGCCCAGCAGTCCATATGTCCTGCATATGGATTTTGGCTCTCACTGTGAAAGGTGAAAGAAATTGAAGAGGATCAAACAGAGTTGAAATTGCGCTTAATATTTCTCTCTTCGTGGTTATCTCTTTGATCTCAGGTATTTCGACGTTGAATGTGAAATCAATATATCGTTTTCAGATTTCCATGTCACTCCGAAGGTCTTCACTTTTCCCGTTGGGCGTCCATTTTCGCGTATCTCTAAGCCAGGTTGTCGATCTTCCTCTGGCACATCTTCTAGTACTGACTTGTCATTCGATGACCACTTTCGAAGTCGGAAACTCGCGGAATTCAACAACTGAAAGTTGTCTCCTTAATTATATGGCATCTTTGGAAGTCTTGCATGAATCAAGAACGCCGTCTACGTACATGGAGTTGCTAACCATGTCTGCAGCTTCGGGATAGTGTTGTGCTTTATCCTTCGCATGTTGCTGGACGATGAATTGTGCACAAAATGGTGACGCTGTCTTGCCAAACACTAGCCGTTGGAATTCGTACACATCAGGTTCTCGGGATGCGTCTAAATTACGCCAAAGAAATCTATGATAAGCGCAATCATCTTTCAACAAGGCTACTTGTAAGAACTTCTCTGAAATATCTCCTGATAAGGCGATTGGGGAGCGTGTGAATCGTATCAGAACGTTCAATAAGTCCTTTTGAAGCTTAGAACCAGCTCGAATTGCGTCATTTAAACTTTTGCCACGATCTTTTGCTGCAGCATCAATTACGATTCGTGTCTTTGTACGTAGTTGTTCTTTCTTCCCTGATTACAGCAAAATGCGGCAAAAACCATTGGTTTATTTCATTGGTCTTTTCTATCTTTTTCACATAACCCTTCTTCTCGTGATCTTCAATTATTTTGTTATATGTGTGCGTTGCTTCGGAGCCTTTTCTATTGAGCGATTTCTCCTGACACTCAAGTCTTATTAACGCCATATCATTGTTATTGTTCAAGTTTGGTTCTTCTTTTTTCCAAGGGATTCCCACAGAATATCTTCCCTTCTCATAAATTGTACTCTCCGTTACCTTGACTACTGCTTCTTTCTCGTCAACGGTTCTGTCGTCAGTGTCCTTGATTCCCAGAGCTTCAAGCTCCCAGAGTTGTCGGAGCAGGTGGTCTTGTTGCTGAACGGTTGGCTGCTCAACCTGGCTAGAACGGTAAGTACGCGTAAAATATGAACGCGATTTACGCCGATGTTCCTCAATGATGGTAGGTCCAAAGCAAACCCAACCTAAATTGGTCAGTCTTGCTATTGTGTCTGTAGTTTTACTATCGTGCACTTCCTTCAGAACATGATGAAACAATGGGTGATCGCTACTTATCAACACATCTATCTGCTTTCGTCTTGAAGTTTGCTCAAAGGAAATGGAAGCCAAATGGGGCCACTTTGCTTTCAAGTCTGCCCAATTGAAGGCGGGTGTGTCTCCAGTTACATTGTCCAGGACATTAGCAGATAAGTTCTCTGAAAAGTTTCTGTTTAAGCTTGTGACAACCAAGTTTACTTGTTTAGACTGTTTTTAAGTTGGGATCCACCAGTACCCGAGATTGTCAGCTCATGCGTTTCTCCGTTCAATTGCAATTCTTCAGCAGCAGCTTCAGTCACATATGAACCGGTGGAACAAGGGTCTAACATCACGTTAACCTTCAGTTCTTTCTTATCATTCTTGATAACAGCTGGTAACACCATTAGCGATATGTGGTCAGTGCGGTGAGTGACATAATATCTAGTATCAACCGTATTTTCACCTGCTCCTGATTGTTGTGCACTGTCCTTATCATCTGGTAATCTGCTCTTGGTTTGCTGGCTGGAGTCTTTCATCGCCTGGTGTGGGGTAACCAAATGAGAACCAGTTTGACAGTTCTGGTCTAGTCTACGTGGGGTATGAAGTAATCTATTGTGCTGGGTACTATAATAGCCGTCGACGCCACGCCGTCTTGCTCGAGTACATTCAATTGCTTTGTGTCCAACACCCAAGCATCGGTAACACCGTCTCGATTTCTCTATCATTGCTTTTCGATTTGATACTGATAATGCTTTAAAGGCATCACAGGTCCAGGGAGGATGGTTGTTCTTGCATGTCTGTACAACGCACTTGAGATTGCCTTTAGACATTGTGTTGAAACCTCTTTCTCTTCTTCCGCGGTTTATCCTTTGGCCACCATTTCTCTCTTTACTAGTTCCCAAGCATTTTGTTTCCTCTTTAGCTTTTTCCATTATCTGATCTCTTAGCTCTACCCACTCAACAAGTGCCTCAAAAGTATCCTCTTTCGAGTGCTCTATCAGCCATGACTTATAACATTGTATATCTTCTTCTGGTAATTTTTCTTTACTTATAAGATTCAAACTCTGACCGAAAAGATCTCCTTGTTTCTCACAGGTGTCCTTCAAAGTTACCAAAGTCCTGTCCAACACAGTCAAAAATTCTTCCAAGTCACTTATATTTTTGGATTCTACCTTTTTCCAATTCTTCAATGCGGTCAATGTCTTAATTTGAAGTCTCCTCTGACATCCATATTTCTTTTCTCATTTTTGTTTAGCTCTCTCATAAGCATTAGAGGAAAATCCTAGATCTTTAACCAATTTAACTGCTTTTCCTTTCAAACTGTTTTGCAGCCTCAACATTTTTTCGTTAACTGGTATGTCTGCATAGTCAACAGCAGATGTGAACGCAGCTTTCCACTGTTCGTATTCTACTTTGTCTTCACTATCAAATGTTGGCAAGTCCACACCTTTTAATTTAATGGGCACACCCTGTGTGAAGTCGGGGTTTTTTGAACTTGGTGCTGCTGGTGATGGTTGCCAGGTATAAGGTATACGTGGTGGTTGTCTCAAATGTATCATGCTGTCAAGAACAGGTGGTCGTAACTGGGTATGTAGCTGGTATGTATTAGGGTTATATCTATTCAGAACAGGTTTGGAGGTTTTTTGCCATGGAAACTGGGCAGGATGACCTTGAGATGAAAGACCATGATCACTTAGGTCAGGATCTGAGATGGGTCGTTGCGGGGACTGGGATGAAGTAAATGCTGTGGCACTCGGGTATGGGGTTTGTGGTGGTTGGAGGTGACCAGGGTGTGTCTCAGGTGGAGGGGTACAAGAGTCTAGGGTTTGTGTTTGGAGGTGACTAGGGTGTGTCTCGGGTGGAGGGGCACTAGGGTCCAGGGTTTGTTTTGGTGTTAACTGATTACGGTCCATCTCATTCAGGAGGCTACTAGGACCTGGTACCCATTATGGTAATTGACTGTGGGAATATGTTTCATCCGAGTCATGCGCTGTTTTGGGGTGGTATTATGAGACCTAGCATCAATAATACAAACAATCTTACGTGCCTCATCTGTTTTTTGTTTTGCAAATTCATGATCAAGCTCTGCAGCTTTCCTATTAAGCTCTTCCTCTTTTTGGTTTTCCTCTGCTTGTAATGTTAAGACTCTTTTGTTTGCTGCCTCTATCTCTGATTGTTGTATTTCATACTCGGAATGGGTTGAGCCTGATGGAGCTATTGATTCAAATTCGCCCCCTTCCAATCTTTCTTTTAAATGCGTTTCTGCAGCTTCTATAATGACATCCACCTGATTGCCTATTCATCAATTTCTCTTTCTATTTTTTCTACCTCTCTTTCCGATTCTGGTATACTCTCGGATATAAACATTTCTTTCAATTTGTTAGTAATTTTTCTATTATAAGAAATTCCGATTAGATTTTACTAATATATCGTCTAATTGTGTTCTTACTTGATTTTGTTGTTAATAGGAGCTCTTATAATTTGTTTCTTTCTCTTGTTATCCTTGACTTTGCATTTCTTTTCTCACGTTTCAGTCGTTCTATACTTTTCAAAGTCCCAGAAGTATCCGCCATTTTTTGATTTTTACGATCTTGTGTTTCGTTTTAATTGCCAAATTTTCCGATTAAATCCGGCTGTCGAAGGTCCAAATGTTCTCACCAACTTGAGAACGTAGTCTGATTTGCTGGTTCT